AAAATCTGCACTGTACAATGAATAGTGATCCGTGAGTGTGTGAAACCTGGAACCTGGGTTTTCTTTAGGACTCCATTCTTTTCGCTGATTCGAGTTTTGCTATAGTAAAAAGTTCTCAGAAACAGTCACATCTAACTTTTTACTACAGTAAAAAGCTCTCACATAACATCACATCTCAATTCGAATTAGCAAACTGAACGAGCGATTTATAATGTGAAAGATTTTTTTATTATTTTTTATTTTATAAAAAGGAATGGTCCCCATTAAAAAAGGGTTTTTCCCACTAAACTTCGTTGTGTTTTGTCTTATTTACATAGACATCCTCTTAATTGTAATATTTTACATTAACGCCCATTATTTGTAACTTGTTGAGTACCCAAATAAAACTTAGCTAGTAAACTGGTTGTGTATGATAATAGCCTCTTATCTTCTACATAATTAGAATGGAAGTGGAATCCGTTTCCGCTTTAGTTATATGTGAAGCATTTTGCACACAACCTAAGTGTGCGAAGCGTTTCGCTTTGGTTTTTTTTTTTTTTTTTTACTTCATTATGTAGCTTATATAATATATATATATATTTATATAGCATGTTTGCTTTGCACTAAAAGAAAAAGAGAAGTAAGGAGTAATTCTATTTTCTCATTGTTAATGTATTTACTTATAAAATTAGTAATGAAGATTAGTGGGTCCCATACAATATATGGAATGAGGAAAGAGATATCAATCCATGTACCCTCTTTAGTATTGATTTATTGTCAAAGTTAATAAATACTAAATTTACTTATCTACTCTTAATAAATTACTATACAATTAATAATTATTTAATTGTATAAAATGACATTTTAGTTAATACATTCATAACAATACTATTCTTAATTTTAGTAAACATAAGAAAGAGAATGATGTTGTTTCCCATTACACTATCTAATAGTTAAGTAAACACATGAAAGGGAATTTATGACCCTTAATTCTATTACTTTACTTTCCTTTCTAACCTCATTACCTTTCTCATTACATTCCTTTACAGTTTGGTAAACACGCTCATAATTTGTTTACTTGGGTAGTCAGACTCAAATTATGAAAATCATTATATTGTTCATATTTAATATGTTAAAATATTATGGACAAAGAAACATTTGAATTCTCAGTTAGATGCTTTAAAGAAATATCATAAGGATTGAATTTATTATCACCCCATCAATAAATTATATTCTACTCTCTAATTAGAAAAAACTTAAACTTATAGAAGTGTATAACACATCAATAATAAGACCTTTGTAACCGAAGTATCATAAACATTGCATCATGACTTAATTTTGATTTTAAAAACAACTATACCATCTTAGTGGCAAAATTATTTGCGTAGTGATATACATGACCATGCCTCCGTCGCCCTACGCGGGCTAACCAATCCATCAGAACATATGAGGTTGAGATTTTATCCGGTCTACTTACATCATGAACAACCTAGTGAGCGAAAACTCAGCGAGTACAAATATCCTTACAAAACCTTTTATACACAATGACTCATATAAAAATGCATGACCATTTATGCTTCATTATGATGATTCCATTTATGATCATTGGGCGTTTGCATGTACCCTATGCACGGGAGACCGGGAGAAGTCGGGGAGCGACCCAAACATTTAGTCCGACTACTCATGGACTTGATTCTATTAGTAACCCTCATCAAGAGTTGGAGGAATTTTAATTTCTCATCCCTCAAGAACGAAAGGTGGTACGACACTTAACTTGTCTTTATTATCTTAGCTTCTTATTTAAGTGAACATCCAATTATGATTATGTCACATAAATATTATAAACATACCTAACTGAAAAGGCAATGTACTTTAAAATATCATAATCATCGTTCAAAATATACTCGTGTTCATCATCATTACTCATCAATCATGGAGTACGTATGCGCATAAGGCAAACAATACAGCAAGCACATATTTGAAATGTTAGCGTTTATGCCCTTAGGAATAAATATAACAATATTCTTTGAGACATTTTGACTATTAATAAAGATTTGTTTATTTCATATATCTATGTATTGTCCTCTTTATGTTCATAATAGTTGAATGTATGATAAGCAAACTGAAAGTCTGAGACTGTCATTCTAAATCTTTAGGTCATGCATGTAATGTGAAGAACATGCCGAAGATAAGAATCTAAAGATGATAGTCTAAATCTTATGATCCACAATTCAAGGAATAAAGTTGGGCGCTTTATTTATGTTAAGATTGTTATGTTGTCTACTTTTTAACGGAGATGGCTTGTCTTGGTTGTCGAAGGTGGGACTCCATGGGTGGAGACATTGATATAGTTTCTAATGGTGAAATCTATATTGGATCGGACCAAAGTTGAATTGTTTTAATTAATAATTCAGTTTGAATAAAACAATTCACTTTTGACGAATTATATGTTGTCATCTTAATCCTGAAATGGATGATGAACCCGCATGCTTGACTTGTATCCTTTGATGTACTAAAGGGAGACATCCTGACATTATGTAAAGGTACGATTGCCGGTAGATTGGGGGTATGACTCGTGTATGCGTAGATTCGTTATTCATAGATAGTGGAATCCATAGCTCCTATAAAGAGTCAATGATATCCTCTGATGCATTATCAATGGATTAGAAAATATGAGCGCTCGACCATTAGACTACTCTGTGTTATCTAATGGTTTACTGTTTGTAATGGTACGAATAGTATTTTTCCAATGGTATGATAATGGAACATAAGATAAATGTAATCGGGAAGGTAAAACAGAACTTGACCTCAAGTCGATTATGGATATCCTATGGGGATGACACACTAATATATTGAGTCATGTACTAGAGCTAATAAGAGCTTTGTAAATATGCTATATAAATCGAGAGTGTAGCTCTAGGCTTTTAGTGGAATAGCGCTAGAGTTTTATAATCATGAGACGGACTTGTTGGTTTACAAGTGGCGTTGTAATTATAGGAGCTTGATTTATATATGTCCGTCAGGTCCCTTTGCTAGCTCACATAATTTCCTGTAACGATACGGCGTATTTTCTACACATTGGTAACTTGTGTTATTTCCGTAAAAGAGGTTCAAAGTTAATTCATGGGTAATTTATCAGGTGAATTAATTGATAAATTAATTCTAGATAAATTGGTTGAATTATTGTTTTAAGAGTTGTTTAATATGGGAAGATTATTATATGACTATTTTGATCAGGCAATTTCTCTATTGGGTTACTTGAATCAAAACTGAGGCTCTATGCAAGTTTCCCGTGTTGAAAAATTAGGAAAATAACTTTCGTCAGTGCAGACAGGTCGACCGGTTAGTGAAGACAGGTCGACCGATGAGTTATAACGTCTCTGTCACCAGTCGACCGGTTGTAACGTAAAATGCATACTAACGTGGCAAAATTGACTCTGTATGCGATTAAGACTTTGAGAAACCTAATTATTACAGAAGTATGACTTCCTAAACACTATAAATAGCCTATTAAGTTACATTACTCATTATATCACTTGAGATATTTTTTGGAGGCTATTGATAAAAGATTCCTGAGAGGAAAAATTGTTTAATTCTCAAGAACAATTTTTTCTTTGGCTCTCTTGTGATTGGAAGGAGATCAAGAATACCAAAAGGAGATTGAACGATGTGTGCCCAAAGAAGACCAGTTGGTTGAGGCTCTTCTGGTTGCTGTTTGGAACGCTTTGATCTGTCAGACGTGCAATTTCCTTAATCTCAAAAGGTATGATTTAGATCTTTAGTATTAATGTTATATAGCATCATGAACATGTTCTTAATTGACTTTGGCATTAATTTAAATTTTTGAAATTTCGCTGCGCACTCGATGCCATTATTTTCCAACATGAAAACCATTCTTGTTGTAGGTGAGGTTGGTATTCACCTGATCAAGAACAATCACAGTTAGAACAACTTCCGGTTGCTTCTCTTGTTTTTTGGAACACTCCTTAATGACAACACTTACAAGTTAGAAGGGGTTCCTTGGTTGACTTATCATATAAAACTCTAAGTCTTATTTGTATCTTATGAAAATAGTTACTAAGTAAAGTTTAATATGATAATCTTAATTAGTGTTAATCATTGTCGGATAACCTCCTCAGATTAAATGGTTTACCGTAAAAATTTAATCACTAATTAATAATTAATTACTGATTTATTATTTACTACTTTAATTATTTTCATCCTTGATTAATAATTAATTGATCACTAATTACTTATTAATTTAATTACTATAACCAATTTAAGTTGATAATTGATTAAGGACTAATTAATCATTGTCTCCTCGCTAATTAATAATTAATTACGATTATTTAATTAACGTAAATAATTTTTAGTTAATAATTAATGTCTAATTAATTATTAACTAAGATGTAAATTAATCTTTAAATAATTACGGGGTTTTAGTTAATTAATTAATTAAGTATTAAGGTGATTAGGAGTTTATTATTCATTTGATTATGACTAATTAATTAATTAAAGTAAATTAATCTTTAGTTAATTGTCTAGCTTAAATATTGATTAGCAGAAGATTAGTTTTCCTAACTAGATGGCTTAACGATGTGGATCTTTAAACCTATGGGCTCATGAAGAAAACTTTGGGCCAATGCTTATTGGGCTTAAGTGTTAGTTTCTGAAACGATTTCGAGTGCAGAAGCACGGTAACTCAGATTAGGGGTGTTAAGCGGTTAAAAATCGTCGATTTTAGTCAATTCGGTGACCGAACTGACCATGTCAGTTTCTAAAACTGGAAACCGAAACCGAACCGCAGAAAGTACTATTCGGTTCGGTTAACCGAACTTTAATTTTTAGTTTTGGTAATCAGGACGGTGACCATCAGGTTACCAGCATCTGCATTAATTGACCAGAAAATGCGAAAAAATGTAAAACATTCATTCTATGCAAATCTGTAATCACAATAAATGAATACAAAGCACAACATCCAAATTGATAATACAACAAACACAAAATATCCAAATCCAATGTCCGAAATCCAAAGTACAAACTAGAAACTAGAAAGTTACAACAAACAATACTAATGTTCAAAGTCTACATATAAAGTCCACAACACAAGTGTAAAAAACATCTAAATTAGCATAAGAAATTAAGAAGTCCAAAGCATAATTAAAAAGTTAACTTTAAATAGTGAAGTTCATTTCTAATTTCTCATAAACCTCCTATTCCTCTTCATCCTCATCCGAATCCAAATCCAAATACAAATCCATTATATCGTCATATGTATCGCTACAACAAAAAATTAGAATTAAGTAAATGAAATTGAATAGATAATAGGAAAAAAAGAAGAAATAGATATAATTCTAATTATCTTACTTGGATCTTTTAGAAGATTCTGCATCATTTACTTGAGTGCTTCCATTCTTTGAACATGTTGGAGTAGAAACAACCTCACCGTCATCTACAAGACAATTATAAATTAATTTACATATTACATGAAATGAATAAAAAGATATAATTAACAAGTATGTGCAGTATGTACAATCATAATTAGTATTACCTGAGACAACATGATAGCAATCTATAAAAGATTCAACCTCATCCAAATATTACCTAAGAAACACGGGTTCATATTCTTCATCCTTCGCGTTCAACCAATTTTTCAAGCAAATAAGTGCTTCCACCATCCTAGGAGCCAATGAACTTCTAAAAGGATCAAGAATATGATAGAAAAAGCAGATCTAGATGCAACCGTCGAAACCGGAACTGCAAGCACATCTCTGGCAATTTAGGACAAGACCTTATACCTAGGAGCATTGACTTTCCACCAACCTAGGATGTCAAAACTGTCATCCACTAGCTCTTCGCATTGCTCAGATAAATACTTATCCACAGCATTCTTCTGCACATTTACACCATCCCCACTCATCTTTTGCTTTCTAAACATGACATCTATCTCATTATCAATAATCGGCATTAAGGTGGATAAGTCGTAATTGTTGAACGACTTGAATTAGAACCAGAATAGGTTTCTAAAGAGTGAGCTGACATTGTATTTCTAAATCGAGGTTTAGCTGACTGTGATAATTGCGGTTGGCCAAGAGTTAGTGGGGGGGCGACGAGGAGCTAAAGGTGGAGGAGGAGCCCGATCATGATATTCCTTATACAATCTAGGCAATGTGTCATCAACCCCGCTTAACGTGTCAGATGTCAAATCATCATAGATACACTTAAAGGCTGGAGCAAGATAATCCAACTTATATCTTTGATCAAGGAACCAAGCCAAGAAACTTCATGTGATTCATTTTCTCGACATTTCCCCAATACTTATCAAACTTCTTATTAATCATCGTTGCCATTTCATTCAAGAAAGGATCATCACACTCCTCTAACTTAATCAACTCTCGTTTGACAGCAAAAATATCTTTGAAATAAGTTTAAAGTGACATAATATGAACCACTAAACTTCTTCGTCTTTCCTAAGAACCTCAGAAAAACCTTTGCATTGTTCCCATCCGTCTCATTTGGTGGACCCTCCATTTTTTTGTCTTTTATGATTTCCTCAAAGTAAGCACAATAGTTTTGATCCGAAAGCAACCTCTCAAAAACTAGGATAAACTTGAAAGAAGTCTCCAACATAAGTATGTAGAGTTCCACCTCGTCTTCACATAAAAACCGGGCTTACTTGTCGGGCTTTCTTCCTTTTCTTAGTACCTTTCCCTTCTTCCTCATTTGTCTCTTGCGTTTCAGTAGTTTCGGTTTCTTTTTTACTAAAGTGAGACTCTACCACTTTTTGCTTTTCCGATGAAGACATCTATATGAAATTATGAATTAAGAAGCCAAACCACATAAAGAACAAGCTAAAGCTAACAAGTCAAACCACATAAACATGTTTGGACGAAATTTTGTAAAGAGTAGCTTGATATGTCTACTTTAACTCCACAAAATTTCATATTCAAATTCAAACTATAAATTGAGAAAACAGACCCGTAATGTACACTGACTGCTATTAAAATTTCATATTCATTTAGACATTTTCACAAACATCTTGCATGCATATCAATAAAACACATAAAAACAACATAATTAATAACCCGTAAAAAAATCAATATCTAGCTCAATGTAATAAGGGTTGCTCATTTTGAGACGAACTAATTCATGTCAACTTGACAGTTTGTCATTTCGTAGCAAAAATGACACCAATATGTTTCATAAAAAACTACAGTTATATTTACTTCATGCGGTGAAGTCACAAATTATCTTTTGACTCTTTGAAAAAAACAACACCACAAAAAGTTAGTAATTGCATTGATCTTTCTCTCTATGTTTAGCAATAACATTCTTGGCCTATCACAAATTTTGAATCGTGAAACTACCTACACAGGTCATGGTTATACCAACAAGGTCTAATTTGCCTCAAATAACAATTATACACAATAATAACGTAGAAGCAACAACTGAAAATAAAAGAAAGAAAAGAAAAAAATAAATAGAGGCAAAGCAAACATAACCCATTAGGCATTAATGGCGGTGGCTGGTGGGTACCTGGAGTCTTGGAGATGCGGCGCGACAAGAAGGGGGCAGTCCGGCAGAGATTAACTCAGATGGAGATGGCAGAGGGCGGACGTGTGAGGAGAGACGGAGGCACGAAGCAGCGGGCATCGGCGGCTAGGGATTTTTCCCCAAATTTGAGCGAGAGACTGTGAGTCGTGAGAGACAGAGAGAGACAGAGAGAGATTGTGAGAGTGAGTGAGAGATTGACTCAGATCAGTTTTACGGTTTTTTTTGTCCAGTCCAGACTCAGATCAAGTCCGAACAACAATTTTCATAAATTATTAAAAATGCTATATATTATATTAATTTATAAGGAATAAATTAATCATATTAATTTAGAATAAGAATTATACTTAAGAAATTGTAATCCCCAACGACAAAGGAACGAGCATTTTCGGGGACTAGCTCGCCATTACTCAAGAGGGAAAGGAAGTTTCTCCCCTCTAATAGAATAAAAGAAAGTATAGAATTGAAAAAGCATATTCTTTCTTTAGATTAATCCTAAGATCCTTTTAAAGTAATACCCGTCTGCACCATATCTTCTTAAATTTTTAATTACATGGTTAACAATCTCCGTTTCCTCCTCATAGTAACTGATTAAGATGATAACTTGATTTCTTTAATCACATACAATCCAATGCTCTGGTTCTCAAATTACCAAGAATCTTCCTAGTCAATTTTTTGATTCTTTTAAGAACATGTGTGTGGGCACACCTAAAATCAGAAAAAATAGTTATTACTCTTTCACAAGTCTTCCACGAACGTTAACACTTTATGATGTGGAATAGGGAATCGAAAAACTTTTTCTCCCTTTTTCTCTCTATGAATCGGCCACTATAGAAAATAGGAGAGCAAAAATTGTGTCTTTCAACTTTACCTCTTATTTATAAAGTTCTAGGACAACTCCTTTCTTTAGCTTAAAGATAAAAATTAATTTTAAATCCTATTTTAAAATTAATTAATTCCTAGTTGACTTTTAGAACAATTTTTCTCTCTCCTAGCATTTCTAGAATTCGATCACTACAAGAATTTCTCCATGTGATAGGCGTCACTTTATCTAGTAGGACGAGAAAAAAAATTTTCTTCTCATGTTATATAATTTTGACTCAAATTTAAATTTCAATTAAAGTCAAACTGTAATTTAATTTGAATTTCAATTGGATAATTTATCTAATAAGTAAATTAGATAATTTGAAGAATAAGCAACTGAAACACAGAGGGGTCCATCTATGCCTTGAGTGTGTGCCTCATGTGGTCCCCACCACATGTGTGTTCTAAAATTCAATATTAAATAATCATATGATTTAATATCTAATTAAAGAATAAATTATTTTCGAGTGATTTAATTTAGATTCCTTAATTTTAAATTCATGTTTTACCCTTAGTGTCTTGTAGAATTATAAGGATAATGTGGGGACTCATGGACCTATAATATGAAGCTCCAATAAATTAATAATTAATCAAACTCTTTAATTAATAAATTAATTCTATTAATTCTAAAGTTACTCCACTATAAACTTGGAATTGCACTCTTGATATTATAAACATTTATTTACATCCGTGAAATGTTTATTTGATATAGCCACATCATATAGATTAATCCTCCATATATAATTCATAATTATAGCTAGACAAAATCCGTTAACCTCTCTAATTACATCTTTATCCTTGAGTCCCATAATTCTTTAATGAATTGTATATTAATAAAACAAATTCATGAATACGAGCCCATTACATATTCAAGTACCGAATCAAACCTCAAGGAAATTATTTATCTGCTTCTTTCTGAAGAAGGATTGGATTTCATCTCGTAATGTTAACATTCCTAACTACCTACGTCATTATGTCTCCAAGCTACAAGGAATAAGATTTAGCTATCTCAAAATCCATACCGACTAAGTCAAAAGATACACATCCATAAATAGGAGTTTGCTGATAACTCAGAATTAAGATCACTCTATATATGACCATTGATAGATTCAATTAGAATTTCTATACTTAATAAAAATTATCAGAAACTCATATTGTGTCTTGTCCCAGTCCTACATAATCTTATTATGTAAAATACACTCATTTGATATCTCTCCATATCAATGATGCAGATGAGCTCGTTCCACCCTTAATGACAATGACATGTATTAATAATGTTTTAGTTAAAGATTCTGAACTTTAATTAAATTCATTACGGACTTATTTCGATTATTATCCTTAAATATTATATTTTAGTATATAACACTTATATACTATACTTAAGATCACATAAATAATCACGAAATTCTTTTCAATAGTATTCACAAATATATAACAATACATTCACAATAATGAAAATTTTATTTTATTAAATAAATAATAAAATCTAAAATTACATCTCATGCTTTAAAGACATTATTCGCAATATTGAGGGGCCCATAAAGTATGTGGGTTTGCTAAATTTCAAATTGGGCTTTGCTTTTAGTTCGTAATGTAACGCCCTTTAGAATTAAACATGTTTAATTATGCTAAACTGTGGATTATTAGTGTGTCTAATTTGATTTTCATAATTAATTAAGGGACTTTAAGTCATTTTCAATATTTATAATTACACCCCAAAGATTTTTGGAAAATACGCTTAAATTTAATACATTTTCCCTTTTTCCATTTTTCTTTTTCCTTTTCTTTTCTTTTTCTTTTTCTTTTTTTTTTCTTTTCTTTTTTCTTTTCCCCCCCATTCCCTTCCCGTGCACCCAGCCCCCCCTCTCTCTCTCTCTCTTTCCTTTTTTTTTTCTTCCTTCCCTGGTTCTCCCACGCACCGCCCCCCCCCCCCCCCCCGCC